ATTCCAAAAAAAAAAAAAAAAAAAAAAAGGAGAGAGAGAGTTGAATGCACAATTCAATATTCTGGAGAATCCATTTGCCACAATTTGTAGGTCTTCATAGTTCATTCATTGTATGTCCATAGCTTGCCGTCATGATTCTTGGCGAACTTATTCTTTCAAACATGCATTGTTCTGGTATATGAACTATGATACTAGTCTATCATTCCTAAAAGGGTTCAGCTGTATGAATAGAGATATCTGGATTTGGAAATGATATATCCAATCTGAAGTTGGTAGACTAGAAAATTTTAACTGGTTACTCATTTTGTTGTTTTTATTGTTCTTCGGGGGTGGGGAATCGTCTTTGTTTCCTGAATTTGTTCCTTAAACAGGTAGAAGTTTCGAATTGCTATTTTTGGGGCCTGCATTCTTTAAGTCTGTTAAATATGATGTGCAAATAGTAGGTGCAGTAAGGTTATGATTAGTCTGGCTCTGGGGTCACGAGAGGACTGTGATGAGCATTGTAATTTTATTCCAATGCAGGAATAGAGGATAATGGTCTAACGTTCGGACCCGTTGAAGGTACGACATACTTGTTATTTGCTGTTGTTGCAATGCTACTTTTCTATTGATAAAATATTTGCCCCTCTTTGTAGGAAACCCGAGTATATGTATGTATGTGTGTGTATATATATTGTGACTGATGATTGTTGCTAGCATTTATCATTCAATGTTGTTTACTGTTTGTACACCAGAAGAACGAATAGAGAATGGCAGAGAAAATCACACCTAGTTTATTTTCTGTTTCATTGTGGAGGGAGATTTTTATAAGCCCTACATATAACTAGAAATCGCTTGTGGAAACTCAATTTTGGTAGTAGGCTGTTTTTTTAATCATATCATTAATAGTGAATTCTTGATGTGCTAGTGAGAATGTACAGGATTGATTGTACATGAAGAATCATATTAGAAGCTGTAAAATGGTCAAAGCTGGTGGGTCTATTACAAAATAGAGTCATCCAATTCCTACGAGTCTGTATGGATATTGAATAAACTTCATTAAGTCTTTATCTAACCACTGTTTAATTTTCAGGCCTATTTTACATATTGCATCATCCCTTCATTCCCTGAGGTCTAATTGAGATTCCCAACATACAGAACTGAAAGTGTTGCTTTTTGAACAATCAATTGTTATGAATAAACCAATGTCTTACCATTGAAAACTTTATATTAATGCTCCTGTGGCCATATTAATGGTTTTAAGATTAGAAAACAATCAAGTTGCATCTCCATTTGAGTTTCTTCTATTATTTCTTATTCATGTAGTTAAGAATATTTCTTTTATAGTGGAAATTCACCTTTTATACCACGTTCTTCTTAAAGAAGAAAAAAATTCTCTCCTTCTAAGTCTCCTTGCACGCTGCAGGTGGCAGGCCTTCACTCAATCTTGAAAGACAGCTAGATCATGATGGACATCCCCTTGCCATCACAGCAGCTGATGCAGTTGCTGCAACGGGCATTCCACCTTGGAATTGGAGAGAGGCACCTGGAAATGGTAGCACTGAGGAACCACAACTCAACGATTTAGAATGTTTTGGAAAAGATGCCGATATGTTGACGTTACTTTCTAGATTATGAGATATACTCTTTCTTGTAGGATTTAGGCCGTTCATTTAAGCATTAACAATCTTGGTATTTAAGATTAGGCTTCGCATTTCAGTCAAATGACTTTTATATCAAAGCTTCCCTCACTTTTGTTCTTTTAGATTCCACATGATTCACCTGCTAAAAGCCTAACAGGTGCCCTTATATGACGATGCTAACTTTGTAGTTGATGGCTATACCTATACCCTTAGTTATTGGCTTGACCCATCATTTCGATTATACAAATATGTTCACATTAAGATTCACTTCTGAATGTTAGTCAAATGGCCTCGTATAAAAACCAATCCTGCCTTTGTTTGAGATGCTTGCTGCTTTATGAATCTTTAATAGCTTCACTTTCTGTCAACTTACCTCCTTGCAGATGGGGAGAGTCAAGCATTTGGCGGGAGAGTAATATCAGTGAAGTGGGGGGACTACACAAGAAGAATCGGTATTGATGGCACCTCAGAGGCCATCAAAGAGGCAATCAAATCTGCATTCAGGTTGAGAACTAAACGTGCATTTTGGTTAGAGGATGAGGACCAGGTTGTCAGAAGTCTGGACAGGGACATGCCTTTAGGAAACTACACTCTTCACCTTGATGAAGGTATCTCTTTTTGTGTTAGTATTGACTCTTACTATTCTTTGTAAAAAGTATAGCACCTAGCTGCACATTTTGAGCAAGGTAATGCATGTGAGAGCAGTTGAACTTCTAATTTCAGGGTTGGCTGTGAAAATCTGCCTCTATGATGAATCTGATCACTTACCGGTACATACCGAAGAAAAAATATTTTACATTGAAGAAGATTACCGAGATTTTTTAACTCGTCGGGGCTGGACATGTCTTCGGGAGTTTGATGGGTATAGAAACATCGATACTATGGATGATCTTCGTCCTGGTGCAATATACCGCGGTATAAGTTGAGCAAGTGCCCAATTATGCCAACATGATAAAGAATTTTGGCTTTAGTGCCCTTGGTTATGGGGCTTTGTTTTAGTACTCCATCTTTACTTGTATTCCATACTCTAAATCTAACCATGTAAACAGGTATAGCCTTTGTGCACAGACTCAGCATATGAAATAGACCTTCGTGCGCAGACTCTGCATATGCATTTTTGACAGGTTATCTTCTCCCTGTATATGTAATATGGATTGTTGGAAGTATTGTCTCATTTGTACAGTCATTATTGCATGCTTTCGAAGATCTCTGTGAAATACATAAATATAAAAAGTGATGCCATTGTCACTGCCTCTCAAGTGAACCAACAGTTTCTTAATTTCTGTATATCTTTGGAACTAACAACTTATCAGCAGAACATTATGTTAGATATTTGGAATTTTCGGGTTCGGTTTCCCTTATAAAAATAACAGAAGAATCATACACCATCAGTTTGAATATCACTTCATTATTTGGGTCTAAATTCAAAGGTTGGTATCAGAATTGGATTTAGTTTGGATCTGAGAAGAATTTGTTGATGGAAGGCATAATCTGAGGGGGCCTTGTTCTGAGGAACTTCCTAAGCCCATGCTCTGCATACTTCTCACCTTCTTCGAAGTTGTCAAGCACTCCAGCAGCTCTCCTCTCTTTGGTAACCCTGTCATGTTCCATTTCAGAACAAATCAGGACTGTTTAGATTTCTGAACAGAAAGCCCCCCCCCCCCCCCCCCCCCCCCCCCCCCCCCCCCCCCCCCCCCCCCCCCCCCCCCCCCC